TTTAAGTTAAAATTATTTTATTATCATAAGTTAATTTGTAGAAATTCTATTACATCACTTATTTGAAAAAAATATTTTTAATTTACACACAAACTACTTTTTAATTCACCAAAAGGTTGTTAGTTGAGGTAGTTTGACACTTGTATCTCTTAATTAATTAGTGAGCTTCAAACCTCAACTTAGGCATGGAATCACAATTGTAGGTACCACTATCTTTATAGGGACTGATGTAGTGAGAAGAAGTTATACCTCTTCATTGAAAAAAAACTAGTTTATAATTTATTAAAAAAATATTTTTATTTTTATTTTTTTTCATAAATATTTATGAAAAAATTTATACAGACATACCCTATAAACAAATTTATATTATTCATAAGTAAATTTAACTATTACTCAAATGTTATCACAAATTTATGATAAGTTTTAATAATACCTAGAAAAATTACTAATAAATTAAAATTTAAAATAAAAAATGAAGAAAAATGCGCTATAAAACAAAAAATAACTTTGTTTGACACTTATGCAAAAGACATCTAATATTTTTCAGGGTTAACGAGTGTTTAGTCCATGCAAAATAAATTATCTTTAGTTTTAGCCACAATCGACTTTTTTTAAAAGAAGAAGAAGAAGAAATTATTCTTAAATTTTAAATATTCAAATTTTAGAGTAATATAGGTTTTTAACCTTAGAATTTGTTTGAATAAACTTCTACAGAAATATTTATAAGAAAGAAAATGGAAAGAAAAAATAAAATACTTTTTTATAAATTAAAATTAATTTATATATAAACTATTTTATAAAAACTTTTTTCTATTAACTCTTTTTAAATTTTCAATAAGTTTTATTTTAATTTTTTTAATTATATTTTCTCTTATAAAATTATTTTTGAAGAAATTTATCTAAACAAAAACTAAAATGTTATTTTCTTTACCAATTTTTCCAAAAGCCCAATAATTGACACAAATATTTTACTGGTAGAACTCAGATTTTCCCTCCGTTTTCTTGCTTCTTTCCTTTACTTTGGTCGTTGCTTCAAGTAATGATGGGATTATTAAAAGGTTCAGTTTGATGGCCATCAATAGATTTGTTGTGTTGCTTTTATGAATATTGGCTTCACTAAGTTAGTTAAAAATGAATGCCCGACCAGAATCGTATGGCATGATGAGCACCTATATATTAAAAATAGTTTTCAACATATATATGTTCTTTAATCAACTAGTAAGGTTTGATTATTCCTGACTTGACATAAAGTAGCATATAAATGTACCATTTTATTTTATTAAAACTAACTATTACATCTCTAAATAATTACATCCGATAATTTTTATTAATTATTATTTCGTTGAATAATTTTTCAAATAAATGATTGTTTTTAAAATTTACCATTAAAAGTTTCCTTCTCCTATATCTTATATACAACATTTTTTATTAATCCAAAACTGTTTCATAATCCATTTATATTAGTCAAAATAAATATGATATATAAATTGTAAAATACACTAAAATATAAATAATTTCATTATCCTTCTTATTATTGTTTAATTTTAAAACAAAATTAACATACGTATTCAAGATAATATAAAATTTTAATTCAACGGATATATGAATAAAATTTATTTTTTATATAAAATTATTAAATGGTATAATTGTAAAAGTTATACAAAAATGGTTTGATCCTCCCTATATATATTTTTTTTTTATCATTTTAAAAGAATCACTTTTTGATCCTCCTTGAAATTTGGTGACTTAGACTCTATTAACGACTACTTATGAAATTTTTTTATTAGATTACATCCATTATCTCAAGTTTTAGATAAAAAATAATCTATATTTATGCAAATAATTTATTAGAGAAAATATAAATATTTGAGATACAAGGCAAATAACTAGTCTTTATAAATTAATTTATTTATATACATAAGTTAAAATATGAATTATATTTAAATATAAAAAATAAAATGAAAGAGAGCATAGAATTTTAAATGATTAAAATTTTTCCAATGCAAAAAGCGGTCACGCCACATATATAATTCTATAAAGGCATTTCCTTTGGTGTAAGATTTGTTTAGGGGGTACCAAAACCCTCTATGACTAGGACCATATAAATAATGACATGTGTTAACTTTGTTAGAACTTATATTTTTTAAGAATGTTTTAATATTTGCTATTTAACCCTCATTAATTTATAATCTTTTAAATAATAGTCTTTAGCCTATTTAAATATCAACATAACACTTTTCGTTCGAATAATCACCATCAAATTTACCAGCAACATCACCATACTCTTTTTTCAAAACAATTTATCGTATATACGGCATCGAAGAATCAAAGCCTTCTAAGTCATGCAACTTCACTACTTTGAAACAATTGAACAAATCAAGAAACGAATTGAAATTATACGTATCTTTAGGGTTTGCAAAATGGAACACCGCGAACCCTCCCGTTCTTAATGTCCAGCCGATCTCTGCCGTGAACTCCGCCAGCTTCGCTGACTGCACGAAGGAGTCCTCGTCGGAGAACACGAAATCGAATGTGAAAAATCATGGTATAGTATGTAGATTAAGAACCACAAAAGAAAGAATTCTGAAGAGAATTAAGGAAATTTCTTATTGCAGAAAAACAGAGAAAGACGATTACAAAAGTCACTAAATAAAAATACATGGCTGAGTATGTATAGAAGAAAAAAAAACAATGATAACAACTAACTAATTGTAATTAATTTATTTTAAAATATTGATATTTAATTTATAAATAATTATAATAAATAAAGATCAAATTAAAAAAGAAGTTAAATAAATATTTATAAATTTTCTCGTTGAAAAAAAATCCTAAAAATATTTTTGTATAAGAGGTCTATATTTAATAGATAGGAATTTATTTATTTTTAATATTCTAAGAGTTTGATGGTTATTATTTGATAAGTTGTTAGACTGGGACAAGAAAGTACAAATTATTTAATTTACACTTTTAAGGTGTGTGTGATAAAATTAATTTATAAATTAATTTAAAATTTATAAATTATAAATAATGAATTGAAAGTTATAAACTTATGCCTTAATTAGTTTTAATTTATGAAAAAATTATTTCATTTTTTATTTTTATTTTATTTGTAAGACCCGCACCCTCTGTACTCACAAACTCTCTCTTTCTCATTTTTCTTCTTTTTTCCTTCCATTACTTTATTCTCATTCCTTTTCTTGGCTAAAACTTAGGTGTTAGTGTTTGATTTGAAAGGTGGAGCTATTGAGAATCAAGAAGAGTAGCAAAGCTAGTCTTCCTCCCCGAAACAATTTCATTTCTCTTCTTCTTCTTCTTCTCTTCCTCGAGAGCTCGGAATCAAAATTTTTCTCCCTCCAAGGTAAGGGAAGCTATCATTTGTTGATTTTGGGACAAAATGTTGTATTGTTGCAACAACTTGTTGGTTACATGCTGATTAAATTGGAGTGTGTAGAATTAGAAAGAGAGATTTTGAGTTGTTTGAAGAATGTGATAGATTGAGTCAGATTTCTTGTTGTACGTGGGATTTGTGATGTTTTCTGAGTTGCATGTTGATGATAGGACTGTTTCCTTGCAAGTGCAGGTGTTGGGTCCCTTCAGGTTGTAAGTTTTGATGGATTTTGGGTGAAAAACATGTGGGAAGCCATGGAAGGGCAGAAAGTTTAATCTGAAGCGCTGAATTGAGAGCTGCAGTACTGGGGCTAGATGTCATAATTTGGTCTTAGAGTTTTCATAAAAGTTTTGGCCTTGGATGTTATATTTCCAATGGCACCAAAATCACCCAAAAAGGAGGTCTAGAACTCCAGATATGGTTATTTTAGTGAACAGGGGTTAAGCTGTCAGCATTGATTGTAGCTGTTGCGGTTTTTAAAATTTTTAACAAAGTATATGATAGAATTAGGACTCTATATCTTCGTAATAGTTGTAGGAAATCTTCTTATATTTCATATGAGATAAGTATGAGTATGATAGGAGTAGTATAATTCCAGATATGGTTGTTTTAGTGAACAAAAGTTAAGCTGTCAGCATTGGTTGTAGTTGTTGCGATTTTTAAAATTTTTAACAAAGTAGATGATAGAATTAGAACTTTATATATTCATAAGAGTTGTAGGAAATATTCTTATATTTCATATGAGATAAGGATGAGCATGATAGGAGTAGTATAACTCCAGATATGGCTATTTTAGTGAACAGGGGTTAAGTTGTCAGCATTGGTTGTAGCTGTTACGGTTTTTAAAATTTTTAACAAGGTAGATGATGGAATTAGGACTTGGTGTCTTCATGAGAGTTTTAGGAAATCTTCTTATATTTCATATGAGATAAGAATGAGAATTATAGGAGTATTATAACTTCATAAATGTTGTTTTATGTGAAGTTGTCATTTCACAATAAGTGATTTGGTTAAGTTAAAAGTTATTTTGAATGCTTATGTTGTTTTATGTTATTTGTGTGTGTAAGTTGGCATGATAGATGAGTTGTGAACATGTAGTGTGAGTTTTATTATGTGGTGAAAATGTTGTGTGTTGATAATTGTTGATAAAATATTGAATAATGATGTGGTGGGTGATGCTTTTGTGATGATGATGGGATGTAAACGAGATGTATGCATTAAAAATTAATAATGACTATATTATATTATTATTTAATTCAAGTAATTTATAAATAAAAATTTTACTTGTCGAATTCTAGAATCACTTATTTTAGTAAATTCTACCTAAAATATAAAAATAATTACATATAATCATCCTCAAAGAATTGATTTCCTGAATTTGACAAATAGAAATAGAGAAAATGAATTTGCATGATAATGCTTTAGTTATCTTGGATACAGAAACCAAATTGAGTTTGAAATTGGGAATGAAAAGGACATCTGTCAGGTAAAAGTCTTTGGAAAAGAAAACAGTTCCAGATATAGATGTAGTAACTTCACTTCCATCAGGTAGTTTTATATGAATGGGTTTAATTTTTCTGTATGTTTGAAATTGAGTAATCGAATTACACACATGATCGGTAGCTCCTGTATCAATGATCCAAGAGTCGGAATTCAAAGAATTGAAAATATTGCAAACAATACCTGATGGTTTTGAACCAAGATCTTGTGCAGTGGAGGTAAATTGATTAATGGTGTGATTGTTCTGAATTCCAGGTTGTTGAATAAGTGCCAATAAGGCCTTATGCTGGTCAGGAGTAAATTCCAAACTTGAACCTTCTCCCATCTCCCTTTGAGACATCATGTTTTGTCTGTCATCAGCATCATCATCATGCTCAGCCACATAATTGTTGATTGCATAATTCTTCTTGAGATGTGGAGGATAACCATGTTTTTTATAGCATGTATCCACAGTGTGTCCATTTTTCCCACAGAAGGAACATACTTTTTGATTCTTTCCTCCTTGGCCCCTACCTCGGCCTCTGCCTGCTGATTGAAAATTATTATCTTTGAAATTCCTTTCTTTGAAGTTTCCTCTGCCATTTGTTCCACTATATGCAGTCAATACATGTTGACCACCATTAATGATATTCATCTGTCTTTCTTGCTGAACAAGAAGAGAGAAAACCTTACTCATTGTCGGTAATGGATCCATGAGCATGATCTGCGACCTCACAACAAAATATTGCTCATTAAGACCCTTCAAAAATCTTATCACGTAATCTCCTTCTCTGTAGGCTTTCATGGTTGGTATTAATTTGCAGTTACATTGATTGGCACAAGTACAACTCGGGATTGGTCTGAAATTTTCCAATTCCTGCCATAATCCCTTTAGTTGAGTAAAATATGCAGTGACTGACAATTCTCCTTGTCTTAAGGCATATACTGCTTCTTGTAATTCTGATATTCTGAATACATCACCTTGATAATACCTATCTCGTAGATCGTCCCATAAATCCTTTGCTATATCAATCCAAAGAACACTCTGAATGATTTCTGGGTCAAGAGAGTTTATGATCCATGATAACACCATATTGTTGCATTTCTTCCATGCAGGTAGCAATGCATCACCAACATCTGGTTTTGACAAAGAACCATTGATAAACTCCATCTTGCTCTTTGATGTTAGAGCCATTGTCATGGCACGTGACCAAGCATGATAATTGTTCCCTTTCAGAACAATTGGAACAATAGAAATAATTGCATTATCACCATTAGGAACATGATAAGGATTCAACGGATCCATGAGTGGGTTAAGATTTGCCATCGACGAAAAAAAAAACTTCAAAGAACTCACTAGGTCTTGAAAAAAAATGATAAAAGAATATCAACTGGTACCTTAAAGAAGCGAATTCTTGGCAGAATAATTGATCAAGAACCGCAAATAATCCTGATGAACGAAAAACGGTTATCATCTATATTCTAATCAGAGTACGAAACGCAGCAGAGCCCCTAGGAAAGGGGCTCTGATACCATGTGAAAAATCATGGTATAGTATGTAGATTAAGAACCACAAAAGAAAGAATTCTGAAGAGAATTAAGGAAATTTCTTATTGCAGAAAAACAGAGAAAGAAGATTACAAAAGTCACTAAATAAAAATACAAGGCTGAGTATTTATAGAAGAAAGAAAAAACAATGATAACAACTAACTAATTGTAATTAATTAAACTAATTGAGAAAGATAAAATAAACTAACTAACAGTAAACTGTTGTTTACATTATATTTTGTAACATCGAAGGTTCCATCGTCGAACGAGATGTGCTCACCTCGGCCGGACTTCACCAGCGGCTTCACCGCCTTTTGCATGACTCCAATGACGTCTTTGACGCCGATCTCCCTCAGCGCGAAGACGTCGCGACCTTTGGGCATCTCCATGCACAACGACTTCGACTCCGGCGAGAGGTAACCACCGACGATCAGGTTCTGGAACGTCGATGAGTAGAAACGAACGCCGTTGATCCAGTCCTTGCTGGTGTAAAGCTCCGGCTGCGACGAACCTCCTCCGAAAGCAGACTCGACGGCGAGAGGACTAGTGCCGGATAGGTTTTGGAGCACCAGATACCAGAGAATAAGAGGTGAGCGGAAAGAGAGAACAACAAAAAATCAGAGGTGAAACAGACAGAAGAAGCAAATGGTGCTTTTCGTATGGAGAATAGATTGTCCGAGAGCAAAGGAGAGAATGGGAGGTGCTTGCCAGAGATGCGACAGAAAGAAGAGGAAAAAGGAAAATGAAACGGGTAGGAAGATGAAGAAGATGAAGAAGATAAAACATATTTAAATAAACTGAGGGCTATTATTTAAAATATTATAAATTAATAAGGGTTAAATAGCAAATATTAAAACATTCTTAAAAAATATAAGTTTTGACAAAATTAATAAATTAATACATATCATCGTTTATGTGATCCTAGTCAGAGAGGGTTTTGGTACCCCTAAACAAAACTTGCACCCCTAAACAAAACTTGCACCAAAGCAAAATGTCTTCTATAAATATCCCCCACAATAGTTACAATCTTCCATCCACACAACTCGTGATGAGCCACATTTACTAGCGACGAAAACCATGCACGTACATACTCTTTCACTTCCAGGGGCCCCAAGAAGACTTCGCCGCCGCCACCACGTGTCCCGTCCGAAATGTGCAGAGCCGGAGATGCTGTCAATGCCACCGGAAAAGTTAGAAGTTTTCAAGTCACTTGATGGATGGGCCTGGGAGTGTGTGGTGCCAATGCTGAAGCCCGTGGAGCAGTGCTGGCAGCCACAAAGCCTGGTCCCTGACTCCTCATTGCCGCACGAAGAGTTCATGGAAGAGGTGAAGGCTCTTCGCCAACGCGCCAAGGAGCTACCCGACGACTACTTGGTGGTCTTGGTGGGTGACATGGTCACCGAAGAAGCTCTTCCCACTTACCAGACCTTAATGACCACCATGGAAGGGTTTCAAGATGAGCCCGGAAGAAGCCCAAACCCATGGGCCGCGTGGACCCGAGGCTGGACCGCCGAAGAAAACAGACACGGGGATTTGCTCAGAACTTATTTGTATCTCTCTGGTCGCGTTCACATGAAGATGATCGATAAGACTATTCATTATCTCATTTCTGCTGGCATGGTCAGTTTCCAACTCTTTTTAAAAAAATATATATTAAAAATAAATAAATTTATGAAAAATTTGAGGAAAAAAACACAGAAAGGAAGATGAGATTTGATTTGTTTTGTTTAGGAGCATGGTTTGGGGAACAACCCGTATTTGGGATTTGTGTACACGTCATTCCAAGAGAGAGCGACGTTCGTGTCACACGGCAACACAGCTCGGCTTGCGAAGGAGGGAGGTGATCCGGTGCTGGCGCGCATATGCGGGACCATTGCGGCCGATGAGAAACGGCATGAGAACGTATACACGAGGGTCGTGGAGAAGCTTCTAGAAGTGGACCCCTCGGGCGCAATGGAGGCCATAGCGTATATGATGGAAAAGAAGATCACGATGCCCGCACACCTTATGTACGATGGGGAGGACCCCAGGCTATTCGAGCACTTTTCTGCGGTGGCTCAACGTACGGGCGTGTACACCGCTAATGACTATGCTGACATCTTGGAGTTTCTGATCGGACAGTGGAGATTGGAGAAGCTGGGAGGTTTGACGGCTGAGGGAAAGAGGGCGCAGGATTATGTGTGTGGGTTAGCACCCAGGATTAGGAAGTTGCAAGAGCGAGCTGATGAGAGGGCGCGTAAGATGAAGCCTCGTGCCGTCAAGTTCAGCTGGATCTTCAATAAAGAACTGCTTTTGTGATTCTGGGATTGTTAGAATTAAATGCATGCATCTGCTTTTTTCAATTTCGGTTGAGATTAATTGTGAGATAGGTTCAATTGTTGATGTGTGTGATGTATGTCTTCACTCATGACTCATGAGGGTATTGTTAATTTGAAATTTATAATGATATTGTGTTTTTAGTTTGCTGTAATTGGATACATTTTAAAATGTTGTATATTTGTTTATTTACTGACAAAATCCTTTGGTAGGTTGGAAGCCAAGCACGTACCACAAATAGTTGCAGACATGCATGCGTGCTAGACATATTCTGAATGATAATCTTTTGTCCCAGTAGTAATATGGAAGAGGAAACCATGTTATTTTGAGAAAATGTTTTTCTGCAAAATTGGTTTAGAATCAACTTATTCCACAAGGTAGAAAAGTTTCCTTCTGCAGTATACGCAAAAGTTTGGCTATTGCTCCGGTGCCCTCTTATTTGAAGGAGTTTTGGTGCCCCGCAGTACAAAAATTGGGTTTTTAGGGACAATAAGGTAAATTGATAAATTGTTCAAAGACTATCAATTTACCTTATTGCCCCTAAAAACCCAACTTTTATACTAAGGGGCACCAAAACCCCTTCAAATAAGAGGACACCGGAACACTCCCCCAAAAGTTTTCCCGAATATAGTAGGATTGTCTCGACAGAATTGAGGAGAGAAGACAGATTTCACTTAAAAAAAAAAAAAAACCTTTTAATAACATTTAAATAAGATTTTTAATAGCACTTTAATGTGTTATCTATCACTCTGTTATTAAAAAAAATTATCTTTGACAACACAAAATAAATATTGTTGTAAGAAATATTTAGACAACACTTACAATAAATAAGTGTTGTCTTAGGGTCCAGACACCACTTGTTTAAAAAAAAAATTATTTAAAAAGATTTTATAATAATACTTATTTATTATAAGTGTTGTTTAATTATGTCTTATAATAACACTTGTTTATATTTTAAAAAAGTTTAGGATATATAATTTATTTTTTTACACTGCTTTTGTAACATTTTGTATTTAATATTTTTTTCTAACACAAATTAACAAAATATTGATTAAATGAATCTAATATAATAATTTAATACTAAAATTAAATAAAAGTTAAGTTATCAAATATATAATAATAAAATGTATCTATATCTATTTTAAATTTCTTATATAAAACTTTAAAACTATAAATAAAAAACAGTTAACTTTTTTAATAAATATATACGTTTCTAATATATAAGTAAATAAAAATATGATTAACTTATACATTTAATTTTATCATAATTTAAAAATAAATATTAATTAAATAAATTTAATATATTACTTTAAACAATTTTATTTTCCTTAAATTTAACTTCAATGAATATATTAATAAAATACATCTAATATAAAAATTTATAAGTAAAAAAAAATGCACAAATTTTTTCATATTTCATAATGATGCTAATTTTAGAAACTAAATGATTAAATAAATTATGAATATTTCTTTATTTCTACAAGTTAAGTAATTATTTAAATATACAATATTTTACAAAAAAAATTACTAAATAATAAAATAATGAATGTGACAAATATTCGATTCATAAAATTTAAACTATAAACTAACAAATATAACTAAAAAATATATCTCATAATCAATCCTAATTTTAGATACTAAAAAAATAAATAACCACATAAAAATTTCCTTATTTATAAATATTCAATTAATAATATTTAAACTATAATTTAATAAATATTATGAAATAAATTAATTTTTAAAATTAAAATTGTAATTAACCTATAATAAAAATACAAATTGGAAAACAATAAGTTATGAGACTTTATTAACACCAACTTGCAAAAAAAAATTCATAATATATATTAAAAATTGTACTAACCGTACTTCGCACCCGGGCTCCGAGCCCGGATTAGCAATACAAAACAGTCTCGGGCACGCGCTGCGCGACGTCAGCCCGGTATTTGAGCAAATCATACCTGATTCCGAGGATCTCGTCCCAGACCAGATCCGCCCTTCAATTATATCATATCATATCATGATATATCTTATCTCAAGCCCAAAACTCAAGGCAAACCTAGATCACCTCAAGGTACGTGCATTATATATATGAGACTATTACTCATGCAAACCGTAACTTTGGCATCAGAGTCTCTTTTGCAGGTACCTCCCCCATCTTGGAGCACCAATATATCAAGCAAAGGAGGCTCACCGATCTTACTGGACGGATCACCTCTACGACCAAATTCCGGTAAGAACATTTGGCGCCCACCGTGGGGCCGATCGAGACAGCCCTCATCGGCCACCTATATGGTTTCTACTAGAAGCCACATTAGACGAGCAACAGAAGACGTTGCACACTCAGCCACCATGGACAGCGACGCTGCGACCTTGAGAAGGCTAATCGACCAAGTCGAACAGATGCGCCAGCAGCATGACGCTGACCTGCGCAACACTCGTGCCCAGCACGAAAGTGACATAGCG